CACTCTTCATTCTATGTAGAGCAAATTGGTAAATGATCCCTTACACATCTATTTGTTTGTCTTGCTTTACCCATTTTCCCCGATATCAGGTTATGGCGGTAGGAGCCTCAAATCATGTACATACCAAATATGTCAGTACGCGATGAAGTACCCCGAAAATGGTATAAGGGACCAGCATACTAAATTTATAGGCTGCCTGTCTACAGTTAGCTTCGCTTGAGAACAGACACTAAGCTAGTTGACCCACATTTTAAGTCCTAATTCGACGATTTTAGTCGAAAATACTAACTAAGTATACTTCGAGAATTTTGAGAACTATTTATTCTGCTTCCATTTAATGGAATTGAATAGATTTATTTAGTTATTGTGTGTATGCCAGATGTGAAACGGAGTAGAATGGCGTTACAAAACAATATACAGTACAATAAATGGATCTTTGTGTGCAGAATGAGGGACCAGTTAACACCACTGAGCATATCCTCAAATGAAATATTGACCCCAAAAAACATTGATTCAGACCAGGGCCCTCACAAGCCTATGTGGCGCCCCAGGGCAAAAGTTTCAGTCGCGCCCCCCCCCCCCCTCCGCATACTGTCACTCTTTGTTCAGTGCCTGCGCTCAGTTGACTTTTTATGATTAAATAAATTTTAAAATAGGCGTACATCTGAAAATATTGTAAGGGACCAGTTAACATCACTGGTATATCTATCTACAAATTAGAGAATGACCAAATTTGCTATTTTATGACGAAACAGTGCAGAGTTTGCCCATTCGTATATGTGGGTTCGCGGGCATAGATATTTAGGGTGTACCCCCGAAAATGGCATAAGGGAGCATCGGACATGAAAACCATTTCGTATGAAAGATTGGCCCTGGACACTCAAGGCCAATTTTCAGTTTCATATGTTTCGCTTAAAAATTGACGACTTTATACTTGTCTGAAGTTTTACCTTTTTAAGGAAAATAACTTTAAAAACTTAGCGTTTACTCTTAAAATTTGGGACTTTCCGGCACTCCGGTTTTGGTAAACTTTTATGATGTCATTCTATACACCCGACTCTACCAGAAACCATAAAAAAACTTTCTTGTATTTGTTTGGGGGTTGACCCCTTTTTTCATAAATTGACTGGACTATATTCAAGGATAAAACCTCATAAGTAACTATTTTTGTGAAATGTAGTAAAAACCCAAGTAAAATTAAATGGCCTATGTAGTAATTAAAGATAGGGATCAAAACATTATTATAAGTGTATGAAAAAATTCAAGTGTATTAATTACAGAGTTAAGGTATAAGTCCTAATTTCGAATTTTCTGGGGTCATGGCGGCTAAGTGGGTAAGACGCTGGCTCGCTAGCCTGGAGGTCGGGTGTTCGATCCCTGCATTGGCCGAGAAAGTTCATTCAGATTTTCCAGCGTTGTTCCCACCTTGTCAGTGATGCAGGGCGGAGGGACTGACAAGGACAGCTGTCTAGTCGTTCGGATGGTACGGAAAACCGAGGTCCCGTGTACATATTGGCGTGCATGTAAAATATCCTTCGACAGTTGGAATTCGATATAAGAGTAGGCCGTATAGTGCCGCTGTCCGGGAAAAATTTCCCTCATAGCACACTGTATGGCGTATGCCCGTCTTCATTAGTCCAGTCGGAGCAGAACAGTAGGACTTTAAACCCCATTTCATTTCATTTCTAATTTTCTATAACCCGGAGAAAACCTAATACGAGAACTTGATTGAATATGAATGTGGACAAGCTCTATCAGTTTATCTTGTTCATGATTTGAAAACCAAGTACAAGACAACTATGTGGACCATGAACCGAGCATGATGTCCTCCATCAATCGATGCGCAATTGTCCAAAGACCAAGCATTCCATGTTTTATGTGGATCGTACTAGAATTGGCGGAGCCTTAGGCTTGTTTCGAAGAGCATCCCCCAGGAAAATAACCAGATGAGTAGCTATTGGGGACCTTTGTTCAGTCCCAAAAACTGCTTCTATAATAGCATTCATTATAAGGGTGCCTTTTCTGTTCAAAACTATACCTAACCTATAATCTAGTTTATGTTGTACTCGTGTATCTGCCTGGGGTAGCTCGTCCAAGTTAAACAATATTGCATCCAAAGCTTACATCATATGGCCTTCTTCTATGGTATTGTTCTGATGATCCATATCGCGATTCGCAAATAAAAATGAATCGCAGGCTTGCAAAAAAAATGTAACATAAACAAGTTGATAATTTCTGATGGATTAAAATATACTAATGCATGGCTGTACTGAAGTTTACATTACTAGACTAAGTGGAATAACTTTACGCTTAAGGAGTTTATCATTTAACAAAATAAAGAAGCCACAGACAGGTTGTGTATATTTTATAAGAGTTGGTTTTAAAGGAAATGGGTTGAAAGCTTATGTACAGTAGACCAGATAAACTGTATATAGATCATGGTAACCTAATTTTTTCTGGTGTATGTTTTTATTCATGTTGATGAGTGAAACATTCAAACATTATTGATAGATGTCAAAGCAGATATAAAACAACAATAAACATTACTGACATAAATATATCAGTCAATGAACTAATGTTACTTCTCCATTTATGATGGTGTAAGATGAAGCTGTCTAGATCTATATCAGTTTTTTGGCTCCTCATAAAATATTTGTGTTCTGGAATCTCTAGCCAGAAGGTGTCAATGGTTTGAATATTCAATGCGTCTGCATTGATATAGCATATAGCATAAACTCTAACATCTACCTTATTTACTTACTTTATCTAATTAAGTCTCATATAGCCAAATGAACTACTCGTTATACATATTCCTGTTTTACATTTTATAAGGTACAAGTTCATAATTCGCGTTAGTTATTATCCAGAATGCCACGCCTAAAGGAGCTATAGATTTATATGTCAAGTAAAACTGCCCTAAGGTCGTGCCCGTGAAGCGCACCTGAAATCGATGCCCGGTGGGAGCAGGGGGGGGGGGGGCGTAATAATAAATAATGTGTGCAACAAAGATAGCCGAATGACAAGTACTGAAATATCCAGATGACAGATGCCGTTAAAGAGTCGGAATAAGGCAACATCCCCTTATCTCACCAGTTACCTTTATTCAGTTAAGGAATATAGCTAACTACAAACGACCTTAACCTGTGATGAGTAATAAGTTGTCTTGTATGTGATGTGGAGAAGCTGTCAAAGAGATGACTGTCATCAGCGTAATCATATGTCGATTCAATGGGTGTAGTATAGAAGCAAAACAGGATTGGTCCAACTACAGGTCCTTGAGTCACCCCACATGTTAGAGTCATTACGATTGAGGCAGTTTTTCCCATAATAACAGCTTGTGACATTCCTGAAAAATGTCAGGAAGACTAACTTAACGCACACCGAACAGATTCCATAATCACTTTCAAGACGATGCAGCAACTGCCCATGGTCAAGCGTGCCAAAGTAGCACCAACATTGACACGTCATCATTGTAAACAGATCGCTTAGTTGCGGCCAACGAGAGTAGTTGCTATGTTGCACTGGAAATTACCACACGGAGATGTCAGAAATGTTAGAGCTTTTAGATTTCCAAATTCCTGTTTAGACCCCCTTCCACATTTTTTCATTCTACAGCTGGAAATCCTGACGTATCTACCTTTGGAAGGCTATAGCCTTCGACAGATCTCTCGAACGACATGTTGATGTCATACTATTACTACTTTTTTCTGTTGAACGTTTTGGGCAAATATACAACAAATATTCCAGCAACGGCAGATGCAAATTTCTGAAATAAAATAATTTCAATTTTAAAACACATTCTGATCCAAGTTAAAGAAACATTATCACTGTCAACAAGAAAAAGATGTAATTGATTTTTTTTTTATAAAATAAACCTATACTCATTATCGGAAATCTAAGCATTGGTCTACTACTTAGAAGAAAACATTAATAAACGAGTGTCAGTTGGAACCATAATATTGACTATCATGTGTACAATCAGCGATATATTGACAGATTTTTTAAAAAGTTGACTGCAATCGAATTTGAATCCCCACCCACATCATGAGTAAAGTTTGCTTATTCTTTCTAGAACACCCAATGCCACTTCTCATTTATTTGTGCTTCGGAATCGTTAGTCATGTTGTACCATACGACCCACTAGACACATTTCTTCTCTGTTCAGCAGTCACACTCCTGATGAGCGGAAGTATAACGGACATTCCAGCCCAGTTCTTGCATTAAGGAAAGGGTGTAAAACCAAATGTTCAATGCATGTCTGTGTTTCTATTATAGATATAACTAGAGCGATACGCCATTAACACATACAATATTTTGGTCATGAATGGCAGCTAGCGTGGCAACAGTCTTGTTAATATATCATGTATCTAATACAAGACGTTCGTCATAACACAAATTCTTTTGTTTATGTTCTTGCAGAGAAGCAATTGACATCATCATTGATACTTTGTCATGTTACCTGATGAAATATGGCTTATTTACTGTAACACCTAGTGGAGTTTCAACACTTTTAAAGTGATAGGGTACTTAGTTCATTTCACTAAACAGAAATATCTCTTTTTAGCATTTACACAGCTGTCAGTGTCTGAAAGGAGAAAAGAAGGAGTCTCCACGGTAAATTCGATCGGCGCGCCTGCTGACATATGGTCTCATCAATACATACTTATTTCAAAAGCCTATTCCAACCGAAATAAACTGGGCCATCTGTGTTCAGCAAAAGCGTTAATAAGAAACGTTTATGGCTGAAACCCTTTGACTAGAGATCATAAGAAAGTTTGGAATGTCCCTTAGTTACATTTTGGCTTAACTCACAATCGCTTTTTTCGACTTTGCTTCAATGAGGTCTTAAAGTATAATATTTCGACCTCTTCTCACATACGCCGACGTACATGTTACGTAGTATCGGTTATCAATAAGATAAGGCGAGGAAATAAACCTTTAATTTCCTAAGGGCGTCAACAGTAATTTACAGAAATATTATACTGTAGCTTCAAAACCTCATCATTTCGTGCTGTATTTTTGACTGGCAGTACCGGTAGTCGATGCCAAAAAAGTTGCTTGAAAATACCATAGTGACCGCATGTACACCAGATAATATTTGTCTTCGCCAGCTTTACTTATTATTGCTCAAATATGTGTGTTCTATTTTGGACAATTTGGTGTGCATTTTTTCTTAATATATGTTTGAGTTGGGACATTAGTGATAGCAAGTTTGCTAGCAATAAACCCAATGTGATAAACGAACGAAAGGGATTAAAAAGGACATCTCCATATGCAATAAGACGATTGAAAAGACAGGCGTACAACAGACGTGATGACAGACGACAAGGTGGACGTGGTAATCACATTGAAAGACCAACAATTCGAGGACATATTGGCAAAAATCAAGGTAAGATGGACATCTCTACAGTATTAAGATTATAATCATAGAGTCTTTCTCTATTAATTTAGTGTTAAACCCGAAAACTTTGGGTTTACTAAAAAGATTAAACGCAATGCCAATAAATTTCGTATTCTTGCAGAGTATTGGGCGTTGGGCTTTTTTGTGGTTTATTTTATTTTATTTTATTTTTTTTCGGGGGGGGGGGGGTGTTTTTCTTCAGAAAAGGGTAAATGGGTTGTTTGTTATAAGTAATAGAGGTTTGGGGTTTTTTAATGTTTTTTTTTTCTTCTTAATTTACTTAGTATTGGGCGTTGGGCTTTTTTGTGGTTTAGTTTATTTTATTTATTTTTTTCTTGTAGATATAATCTTTTGAAGAATATTGTTATTTGCTAGTAAATTCATTTATGGTCAAGTACGTTTAACTTGTGTATACGATACTATCTAAACTATAAAAGTGGTTGGTTTCAAGTGTGGGCTATATAAATATCATATAACATACATTAAGTATATCTGATTCGATGAGTTTTTGTACTTTTCATATTCTGTGAGTGCCACAAGTATATCACAGCTTTTGTTTCCTGTTAAATATGGGAAGGCGTCAATATTATGATTGGCTGTAGGAAAGAAGTAAATGTTAAAGGGGCATACATAAAAGTATCAGATTTTGAACAAAATAATAAAAACCGGTTATTTAAAATCTAATAATTGACCAACTTAAAGTAATGTATCTCTAATAAAGTTAGCGTTTGTTAAACTTCTAATAATTAAAGTTAACATGGCCATAAATGGATTGTCAAATGCACTTTAGAAGTCAGGACAAATCAAATTCTTTTCCAAGCACTAGTGCCCCAATAAATATGTAAACATGCTGAATTATCATTTATATTTAAAAATTCATTCCTGAACACAGATGTTATGAAGTAGGTCGAAACGTTGAAATGAATTATGGATTGCAGAGTTGATCTGGCGAAATCTTTCACTATGTGTCTATGTTCACAATCTCCAGAAATATTTCGACTATAGGGCATAATTTGATCTGAATGCCGGGTTGTCTTTATATTCTCTAGCGAAAATGAAATTCACTGTGATTAAACCGGGCGAAATCTTTCACTATGTGTCCATGTTCACAATCTCCAGAAATATTTCGACTAGGGCATAATTTGATCTGAATGCCGGGTTGTCTTTATGTTCTCTGGCGAAAATGAAATGCACTGTGGTTAAACCGGGCGAAGGACGACGGACATACTCTTTATCGAATTCCAACAGTAAAGGGCGCACGCCAAATGTCCGCGGGGCCACGGGTTTTAGGCCTGGCCCTCCCTCCACTCAGCATCACTGACAATGGGAAATGAAGCTGGAAAATCCCGAGGAATTCCCTGATTAGTGTTCCAGTGCCTTACTCCCGAGGACACCGTGGCTCCCCTTGTTCTATGTTACAAATAATTTGGGGGGTAGCCTTATCTGTCCACCATTACCATTTTGTCTATTTTCACACAGTGATAATGTTATACTTTTCTCTTATGACCATATAGCTTCTATTTCTTATTTGACGACGATTTATCTGGACACAGCAAGAATCGGTTCCATTTTCAGAAAGTTACAAGCAGTCTTCCATCCATATCAGTATAAGACAATTACCTCTTTACGAAAAAACTGTACTCTTTCGACAAAATTTGTGAATGAAGGTATATGGGCTTTAGGTTACAGGCGTGCCGCAACATGGCAAATGGCTGTGTTTTATAACTGTCTATAATTAGTTAGGTTGATAAAAGGTATGCCATATTTATATAAAAGGGCTTACGGAATACGGGAATTTGGGAATTATGCTCTAACTCATTTTTTTTTTACACAAAGTTTATATTAGAACCTGGTTTCTTTTGTAAAACAGAGTTTGGCATACATTTTTCAAATATATTGGCTATTAGCGCTTTAGGTAAACCTTTGAAAAATCGTGACGTATATAGAACATGTTTTGTTATTCTTTACATGTTTTGAGTGTTTCTCATTTATGTTTGTGGATTAAAATGGGGTGTTTCGCATCAAGAACTCTACAAAACACCCAAAATCTTGTAAAATTTCCGAAAGAAAGTTATAGTACGAAATAAAAACAACCACATATTCCTCTAACACTAGTTTTAACAGACACAGCTGTTGTGCTTTGTATATTTCTGAAGAAAATATTTCATCGTCAAAGCTCAATGCAGATGTAAGAACTTATTAGGGGGCGTGGAAGCTTTCGAGGGTTTCTTTTACGGATTATTACCGCTAGAAATCTAATCCGTTTTCTCACTTAAGAAAAATGTAGCCTTGCCGAACAAAGAATATTACAGCTACCAGCAGTTTTGTGAAGGAAACCAAGTACATTAATCGGCCTGACAAAATAACCTGGGACCTGTAGTATTTATGATTCTGTAATAGGGGCAATAAGTTGTGTAAATATATCGCATTTCTCCATGATTCGCCCTGACGACTAACCGAAAAAGCCAAAAAGCTTGTAAAAACATTTTTTTTTAAATAGAATTTTTACAATACATAGTTACAAGGACAATTAGTGAGCGACTGAAAGAGCAATTTCTTTTTAAATTTCCGTGAATTGGGTCCCTGGTAGTAATTCTTTTACTACTGTTCTTGTTCAGAAGTACAGTATTTTGTTCTTCATGTTCAGAAGTACAGTATTTTGTTCTTCAGAGAAACTTTGACTGGTATTGTTTTGTTATATAAGTGTCTAAGATAAGTAATGACACAATGAAATACCTTGTTTCTCTGTAGTGTGTCTTTATACACTTGCTATGATAACATTCACCTATAAATTAGTTACATACTCGCGATTGCAAGATAAAAGATAACATTTACCGTTAGGTCAACAACCATTGGTCGACCATTGGCATCTGAAAACGATAATTTTGTTTGACATTTTTGATACGATCGCTAAAAAGACCTATAGGTGGATGGTAGTAATTATGCTTAAAATAACATTATTATTAGGCGTGGCTCTTTACTTGCGTGTGAGAAGTCATTGAGAGAGTACCGGAATAAAAATGTTATTGGTAAAAATGTTAACATGTCAATGAAATATTTTAGTCGTATTTTAAAACTGCTTCAAAAACAACAAAATTTACGAGACGGCTGTATGGATATTTATTTTTTAAAGATTTCTTAAAAGGAGCACTGGTCTTTTCCATGGTTTTTTTTTGTTATTTCGATAGCCACATGCATGAACTATAGCCGCATGACATTGTAATATACCAAGATGTTTTATCTGGATATCCGGTGTTTTTCTGGATTTATTCGTTTTTTCTCTACATGGGTTTATTTTTTATAGTTTTTTACATGTCCGGGTATTAATTTGCATTGGTAGCCACGTGACCCATTAATAGAAACACGCATGAATAATCTGTAGCTATTCTCACGTATTTAAATTAACTTCTACTTGCTGCAGTGGCGTGATCAGCCTGAAGATAGTGGCAACGCTAAGGAAGTGGGTGTGGCTCGTGGTATTTATGGGAGGTCAAATTATTTCTTAATCTCAGATTAAAATTCTGTTCATGATCTAATATATATGAAGTTTACGGGTCACTGAACCAATCCATAAAATCTCCAAAATATTACAATACACAATTGGGGCGGGTTTTCCAGAAAAGCGACATATGCCTACCTTACGTGACATAGGTGTATGTCAATTCATATTTGTGTTATACAAGAAACGGATGATGCCACATACTTCAGTTTTCAGAAGAAAAATGTCCCAACAACAATCTCCATGATGGTTGATGGCATCCAATGGATGAATGTGAAATATTCCTCTGAACATACCTCTGTTTCATTTGTTGTGTGCACCCATAACTATTCCTGTATCTTTAGTCCGACGTTGACAGCATAATAAGACTGTGTTTGCAAGTGTTTTAAACAGGTCCATAATAAATAATTTAACAGTAAATTGATAATCCTGACTCGAGACGCAGACTATTGGGAAATATACTATTCAAAAAAAGTAGGGGATATTTGATTTTTAAGTGTTATTAAAGTCACCTAATGAAACTGACGAAGAAACAAATGACAAAATGAAATGAAGTTCACATTCATCGATTTATTCCAAATGATCGTTAGACTAAGTAAGGCACAGACTGACCATTATAAGGGTAAAATGATACCCGGGGTCAAACAGCAAAGTTACCACAGCATCACAACCAAGTCAGTAACGGGTAAATCCTCCTCTGTTTGCCAAACAAGCATTGATCCGACGTGGCATACTCCTAATGAGACGTCTAAGGTCATTTTGGTCCAGATTGTCCCATTCCTGTTGCAACGCAGCAGCAAGTTCTTGGACATTGGCAGGACGTTGTTGACGTTGACGTAACCTCTGTCCAAGCATGTCCCAGACATGCTCGATGGGGGAGAGGTCGGGACTCAGTGCTGGCCAAGGTAATGTGGTGATGTTCTGTTGTTGGAGGTAACCTGTAACGATCCTGGCCCTGTGACATCTTGCGTTGTCATCCTGGAAGATGAAACGGCGGCCATGACGTCGTGCGAACGGCACAACATGGACTGCCAAGATGTTGTCCCGGTAGTACTGGCCTGTAACACGCCCTGCAACAACATGTAAAGCCGTTCTTCCAGCAACAGTGATGCCTCCCCACACCATAACAGAACCACCCCCAAATCGATCATGTCTGATGACGTTAACGTCTTGGAAGCGCTCGTTTCGACGACGCCACACCCTCCTACGTCTGTCCAAAAAATCAACAGTGAACCTTGACTCATCTGAAAACATCACATTGCTCCAGCGTCGATTATCCCAGTGTTGACGATCCCTACACCAACGACGTCTTGCCTGAATGTGATGATCTCTCAAACAAGGGATCACGCGAGGACGTCTGGCGCGAAGGTGACCCCTATGCAGTCGATTCCGAATCGTCTGGCCACTCACTCACACCAGTGTCTGAAGACGAGCGCTGATCTGATTTGCTGTGATGACACGATTTCTCAAGGCCAAGGTACGGATAAAT